CCTGCTGACTCTTTTAGAAAACTAGTATTGGGATCAACACCACTTAGAAAATCCAAATCTCCTCTTGACTACTTGTAGTCCCATATGTGTGGTTTCAAATCTTCAACATTTAGTTGAATCGATTAGAACCAACATATTGAAACTCGAGTTGAGTTTCTATAAGGATTAGAGAAGCCTTAGGTAAACCATTCAACGTGTTTTAAGAGGCATGCTACTGGGATCATTCTGCTAAACTTCGGCTCTTGCCCAGGTGAAAATCAGTCGGCATGTGGCTTGTTGGACGACTCTGATCGGACCGACAAATATTGTTCGCATGGTTGCACGCAAAACTAACTCAAATTGGCTCGATTGTTGATGAATTTGTCCAGACGACCCCAAATGACGAAACGAACCCCACGAGCACGTTCAGAACATTGACTTTACCTTGGGAGGACACCCATATTGCTATGATCTTGCGTAAGAGCTAGTAATGTGCAAATCGAAGCTTTTAAATAGTAAATAATAATAAATAAAGCTTTCTACCGTGAGAGCTTAGGTTTTGTCGTTTTGTTCACCATAATCTCTACTTCTATTTGTCTTCGATAAATATGTTTCTCCTAGGTGAGTCGTGTTGGCTCGACTGATTGGTATTCTTGCTTGGTTGCTCTATATTCTTGCTTGGCTGCTCGGTATTCTTGCTTGGTTCCTCCGATTGTTACATGCCGTGGAGGTTGACAAAGAACTTCCATTTGGAATTGTGAGTTTCCTGGTAGAGATTAGTGGCCTTTCTGTAACAAGCATTGCAGTTTTTCTTTACTTGTTATCACAATGTGAGGCCAGATTTAAGAATCTACGTTTTGAAGATGCGGTGATGAGGAACATCAGAAGACACAAACATGCTCAACGCCATTGGGATAAGAATGAAGGTGAAATAGAAGTCTAAACATAAACAATTCTAGAATAGTTATCTTGTTTGGAGAATGATAGTGTCGATGATCCTGTATCAGCTCAGCAATTGGCATTGATTCTTTTTAAAGATTGAAATGACCGCCGTGGAAAGAAGGATAAGTTCATTAGAACATGAATAAATCATAGTTTCACTTCATCTGGAACCATAGATTGCTGCCACTGTCATTTAATTTTTATTTTTACATGCAAATTTGTCAGTTGATATGCTTTTATTGGGTAATGCTGATGAATGGCAAAACAACATTCTATATTAAGTTTTTCACGCCAAGAAGGCAGCTATATTTTGACAAAAGAATGACTATGAGATGCTTGTGTTATGTTTTTCTCACATACTATATTTCTAGATGAGAAATATCATTTCATCCTATTCAGTGGTTGAGTTAGGATTTCAAATGAGAAGGTCAAAAGAGTTTATTCTATACATTGCACACAATTCTTATGTATTCATGTCTCACGCTTGAGCTTTTATGCACATAGCACTTAAATCTTTAACATCACATAGAAAAATAGCACAATCACCATTTTCTTTAATTTTAAATACAGCTTTTCCATTTAAAGGCAAGGTGGTATTTATATGTAAAATTTGAATTTTAGGTGTTAGACATGTAAATTCATAGAAATTGAGTGAGGTGTATGTAAATCTTTCTAAAGATAATCAGCTTGCACATTCCTACTAAACTTGATATTGATGGGTTTATTTTTCATTTCACTACTTTAATATTGGGGCATTTACATATCTACAACTAAACATTCATATTTACTTGTTTCCTGTTTAAATTCATGAAATCACAGCAAAGATGCAAGCATCACTATCTTTTCAAAAGTGAAATGCAACTTTTCAGCACAGGTTTGTGACAGAAAGGCGCGTAATTTTTGTCCGAACACCTGACGTAGCTCTACGTGCGGTGCAGGTTATTCCTGAGTTATTTTTAGGTTATTTCTGGGTTATTTTCAATAATTCCGAAATAACCCCGAAATAACCCAGAAATAACCCGCTATCTTTATTTTTTGGTGTTAGGTACATGGATATGTAAGAATTGTGTGGCACGTATATAGATCTTACAATAATTTTTCATATGGAGTGGAATGGTGTTTTATGTTTGCTACAAGTTTGATGTTGGTTATAGAAGTGATTGTCATTTGTAATGTGCAAGAAAGATAGAGGGAAAAGAGAGGAACTTACATAGTATTGTTGTTTAATAAACCATATCTGCAGAAGCGTTTACATACATACCACCCAATTCATATACATTTAAATTTCTAACACTTAAAGTTGATTTTTATACTTCTACCACCCAAATCTTTTATATCACATAAAAATAATAAAAATAATAATACCATTATATTAATTTAAAAATAAATAAATAAATAAAATACAACTCTTCATAAATAGGTAAGATGACATATATGTAAGAAACTGAAGTTTAGGTGTGAGATATATGAACACATAAGGATTGAGTGGGTTGTAGACAAATCCTTTTATTATTGTTTCATATAAGGTTGCTTATGAAGTTTGTTTCTCTCCTCCTGGATGGCACACTTCATGGCGACCCTTACTTGAGAATTCTTTTCGATTTAAGCGTGTAACCAAGGAAGTTTTCCTAACTAATTATAAGCAACCTTGCACAATAATTTTTATAGACATATATTTTAAAGTTGATGCATAAATTGATTGTTACGAAGTTATATATTATGATTATTTTGTCATCCAAGGAGTCCTCAGTAGTCTTAAGGTTAAAAGAAAAAAATTTTAAGTCCTATGACCTATAAAGGCAGAGCTCACATAAATGGAACTTATACTCGCCAAATAAATGGTGAAGATGTCATCGAAAGGAAGAGAAAAAAGATGTTCAACTACAAAGCTGAAAATACTTTCAACAAAAGACTTAATCCTCGTCTTGGTCGGGAAAGTCTCTAAAACCCTAATTGCACTAGACAATCATATAAGTATAAATCTATGTTGTGCAAGTTAGGTTGAAGAAACTTAGGGGATTCTCCTCAAGACATGCAAATATGTTGCAGTTATTTACCACAATCCTAAGTGTAGAGCTCATATTAAATATGACTTGGATAATAGTCATGCATGCAACCCATTTTAAAACCGGCTTGAAGGTCATGCAGAAAAGTAAAATGCAGGTTTTAAATAATTGAATATTTTAACCCTAAGTTTTGAATTTATCTTGTTCTCTTATTAGAATTTCAGTAAAAAGTTTATAATTTTGGGGTCCTTAAAAGCCTAAATTATAATGTTGGATTCTCAGACAAACCACAAGGTAAAAAATGGCAAAACTAGCAAGCACGTGCATGAAGCATGAAAGTAAGCAAGCCAAAAAAATAAAAAATAACCGACCCAGTGTTGCTAGGTCGGCAATATATTCCAGAAAGCAAAAAAGAAAGTCGGGCATCATATATACAAACCTAGTCCTAAATGTTATACATCAAAGAGAATGTGGAATTAAGATACGAGATACGAGCATCTGCTCATGTTCCCCGTCATGTGGTTCCACGACTCAAGCGCCTCGAAACTCATGTTCGTATCTTATTACCGCTACAGAACTCTCCTAAGGGCTCTAAAAAGTACATCGTAAAGTCAAAAAATGACTCGACCTGCATGAAAATCATGTAAGAAAAAAGCTATCTACATGTAGCGTGGTAGACCATGCTAGGTGTGAGGAGAGCTTAACAGCACCTGCAAGCAAATGGTTGGCTTTAAATCATTAGAGATCCCCCTTGTTGATATGACTCCCTGCAAAAAAAATTGCTCCTAACATACAAGTGCACAAGTCTCACACCCAGTAAACTCACAAAGCAGCACAAAAGTAATGTCTGACTAGAGCAACTAAACCAAAAGAGAATTATAGTCAAACCATCAAAAAGACTACCTAGTATCCTAATCCTAGTCTAGCACATCATCTACCGCAGTGTCCTATCACAACATATAAGTGTGTGCACAATGTAGGAGTAAAGTCACGGCGTATGACTTTGAACGGGTTGCCAAACCGACCACGTTCTAAAGATCAAAGGGATCAAAAGTACTTCACTAAAGGAGTAACACTTTAAATAAGTGGTCTCACATACGACCTAACTTATATAGTTTTAAAAATAGGGCTGATAATACTTAATAAAAAAAAATATCAATTTATATACTTTTAATAGAGGATCATTAAAATTGGGTGCATAACATGTTAGTGATGTACTTTAGAGCCCTTGGAGCCTTAGTACAGTCATACACAAGTTGGTTGTAATACAAAAACTCGCATTGCTCATTGAGCTATCCTCGCGAGCAATGCTGGTGTAGGTATTATGGTCAACAAATGGGTCGCTCATCCTAGTGAGTAGGATATGTCATCAAGACAAATGTGCAAGCATACTATCATGTGAAAGGCCCAACACATTGTGATCTACCGAAACACGAACAATCACAATGGCCGCCAAAGAGGCGAATCACACATAATGCATAAGAATGCAAGGATGTCACATGCAAATGACACACATAAAGTGAATATAACAGATGCATGCTATCTATTAAGAGGAATTACACCATCTCTAGGAAAAGTCAGATTTCATGCAACGAGCAGACAAATGATACAAGTGGGTTTACATCGATCATAGGATACTTATAAAGGAATTACTTTATACCCAAGAGACACCCAAATGAGCACATGCAATCATGTAATCACTGTGACATGCACCCAAGATAAATAAGTAAGGATACAAAAGATGCTAAGTGCCAAACATAATGGGCAGTGTGATTCGTACAAGTGAGAATCACATGCCCGGGAGGATACACATTGTGGCGTGCATAACTTTAGTGGCTAAAGAGCATGACATGCACTATGAACAATATGAGATACCTGTGACATTCCTAGATGGTTACAAAGGGAATGAGTAGCTCAGCTCTCATGGAAGAGAAATGTGAAAAGGATTTTCATGTATGAGGATCATCCCCTCACGAAGTATGCAAGTTTTAATTCATGTGTATATGGGGATGTGTGTGGGAAAAATACTTGCAAGTGCGGGTGCTCAGAGAGACACCACATGTAAGGGTGCTCAAAGAGACACAAGGGCATGCAACAAGAAAACACCACAATCAACATGATATAAAAATGCCCAATTGCATACAAGAAATTACATGAAGTAAAGTTATGCAAAACAAAGCATACAAGCATGCAATGGTCAAGTGAAGTTTGCCAAAGATGGCCAACCGGACCGCGGTGATCGTTCGATCTGGCTGTGTCGAACGGCCGAGCTGAAGTCATTGGGTGATTAGATCGGAGTTGTCGATCAAACCCAAAGTGATTGTTCGATGGTATCAAGGTGGCCGATCAAACCGGAGTGAGCAGTAGATCGAACCGAGACGTACAATCGAACCCGTGAATGGGTGATTGGACCGGGACAGTCGATCGAACCCAAAGAATAAGGTGATAGGTCTGGGGCGGCCAATCGAACCCAAAGGAAAGGGTGATCGAGCTACGGTAGCTGATCAAACCCAAAGATAGGGGGATCTAGCCTAGACGGCGATTGAGCCAAAAGCGATTGGTCGATGGAGCCGAGATGGCAATCGAACCAAAAGTGATCACAAAATCAAGATGCAATATGCAATACACTATGAATGAGCATGCAAGCAATGTAATTCAAATGCATTTGATGTCACGTTGATCTCATCCTACCAACCTTGCATGGGATATAGCGTTGAATTTGATGAAGAGTTGTACCAACATCATATTGCGCGAGGTAACATGATGCCCACATCCGTTTGCCCGACATAAAGGGGAGGATTTCACGTGAGGAGAACTCTTTACGACTCAGAGGATGAAGACCAAAGTGAGGTCTTCTCCCACTCAGTCGAACGACTTAAAATCTATATCCAAATGAAACTGCCTTAACAAATAGTTTGATTAGTGCAACCTTGACTTTCGTAGGATTTTCGAGCTAAGGATTCAAGGGGAAATTGCTCGGATTCATATGGGAAAGTCCATGAAAGGCTCCCTAACATGTCGACTTCTTCTAAGCACACAAACTTTAAGCCTTAATCCTCTAACAACAAGAGCTAGGGCCTCTGGGAATAAAATTGTGAGAGTTTTAAGGAGATCCCACCATTGTGATGGTTGTGCTTTGCCTGTCCAAGCAATCAAAGTCTAAGCCACACACTACCGTACCTCATAAAACATGTGTGGGACGATGAAAGAAGCAAGTGAGGGTAGGAGGTATACAAGCAACTCTGATAAATAATCATAGCATTGTAAGAATACCAACAATATGTACCTTTGCGGGAAGAGTTGAACGCTGATGAGGGCTTCGGTTCTAAGCATCCCCAAATTTATCTCACAAGTAATCATGGAAAAGTGTATGAGAATGCGTTGCAATAAACTCATCCAGATTTGACCTCGCTACATCTACTTCCTAGGTTTTGGGTAGGAGCAATGCGAAAGAAGAATAGAGATTGGAGTTTCGGATCTCTGTACGTCGTGATCCCACTGTCTCCTTGCATGTAGTCCGAGCTAAGACGAGATAGGAGGTCCGCCGCTGGTGTCAGGGTCTCCCCATGAGAAGGAGAGAGAGACCGGCGGGGTTCCCCCACCTAGGGTTTCGTCCATGACAAAAAATCGTGAGAGGGAAGAGCCTTCGCATGATAATAGGTAGCATAGGGCATGTTCCGGTGGCGGGAAGCGTTCCAGGGAGGGAGAGGAGGCCGGCAAGGAGCCGGAGGCGGCCAGGGGGCAGGGCATAAGGAGTTGTTGCTAGAACAAGAGGAGGGAGGCCGCGTGGGCTTTGTCCATGAGAGAGAATCAGTGAACGGCGGACTCACCGGCGTGATGACGATGGCAGACTCACCGGTGTGATGACGACGGCGGCCTCGGTGGTGAGAGCCAGCGAGCAGGCCGGCGGGGCGACCGAGAGAGGGGGTACCCGAGTTCGGCTATTTCACGAAGAAGAAAAAGGAAGAAAAATAATTTACATTATTTTTTTAATATTAAAACCGTCTTTCGTCTAATTTTAATTCATATGCATCAACATGTGATTCATACCCGTCTTTAATGTTAATAATATGAGTGTCATTTCTAAATGAAATTGACATTTCAGAAGCGCCCTTGCATACTATTTTATCATCGGAGATCATCTAGATAAAGTCATTGACGATCGAGTCAATTTAAGTGTGACTCGTGCTAGATGTGATGAATGTATGTTGTTTCGATCGAAGCTGTCTGACAGACAAAACACTGATCAACATTCACTTAAGTGAGAGCCAAAGTATATTAGGATGATCTCGATAGTGTGCCTCTCAACAAGTGTTAAAGGGTTTAAAAATGGATGACTTAAGCTCTAGGAAGCTAGGTATGCATAAAAATTAATCATGGGTTATTCAAGCGGACATTCCACGCACGTGATATCAAAAATGATGCCAACACACATATCGATGCACATGTTGGTAATGATGAGAAGATTGCATATAGCGAACATTATAGAGCTGCTGCATCGAATAAATTAACAGTTTATAATTTCAATATGTATTTTACATTAGTGATGACTGGATGAGAAACGAGTGCTCATAATAGTCGAATATTCAAATTTGTAACCGGACAACAAGAATATAAATTTTTAAATATTCCACCAAGTTAGTACATTCAAGGATATATATGAAGTGTTTCATCTGAGGATATGCAATAATGATGTCATTATTTTAAAAACTATTACCTCGTTAATTCGGGATATCTATTACAATGAGGTTTCTTGAAATCATTCCCTGACACAAGGTATAACCTTCCTAATTTTGATCTCAACAGCCAAGAGAACAGAGGAAGGAACGAAATCTTCAATAAAAGACACTCGTCATTAAAGAGTGACATCGAGATAACATTCGGTTTATAGAAGAAGAAGTGGATGTCGACATACTCTTTCAAAAAATAGGTGAAGATAGTTGTTGCAATAGTAGCACTCCATAATTTTATACAAAGGCATTCATCCTGAGACGATATCAATTTCAAGGTCTTATATGAAGATCCTACCTGCATGCCTGAGGGAGCATTTCAACATCGAGCCAGACGTTCATTTTCTGATGAGAACTTTGGTATGATTGAGTGCCCCACTTCTAAGAAAGAAGACATATAAGAGATGATACAATTAAGAGAAGATTATCGATGCTTTAGTGAATGCATCAAGTGTATTTATGTAGCATCACCTACTGATTCCTTATTGATGATTTCCATTTCAGCTATAAGTTAGATTTGTAGATATATATTTTCTAAATCTTTGTAGCAATTTATATTGTAGCTTTCTTGATGTGTCATAACTATCTTTTGTTTTTTATTATAAAAATGTTTAATTTTTTTAATGTTTCTATTCTATGCTTACTTTTTTTTTTTTTGCTAATTGAAGTCATATTGTGTTATAATAACATGAAACATAAGTTCAAGAGCATCAGATACTTCGAGAGTTCCATCATCTTATTGTGTCATGCGGTGTGTTAATTAACGATCAAGAAGAGAAGATAACTACAGGAGGAGATTTTATTGCTGTCCTAGAAATAGGACACCTAAAGATTGCAATTTTTTTTTTGTTGGATTAATGACACAGATGACTTCATTCTAGGTAGTGATTGAGTTAGGAGAGATACTGCGATAGAGAAAAGATTATTCCGAAAATTTGATCGTTGGGACATGAAAACGAAACTCATTCTAGGCTTGCTAGTTATTATGGTTGTCCTCATTTTCGTAATAATATGCATGAAATGATTGCTCATTTTTTTACGTTTTAGAGTGTTTTGCACTGTATTGAAGTTTTTTGTGTAGTAGGACATTCTTTTTTTCTATTTTAATTATTCTGAAAACTGCAATTATTCAGATATGTTACATATATAAGAGTAAAATAGTCTTTTTCATCAAAAATAGTTGTAGCACAACAAATCTCCCAAACATACTCCTACTTCTCCAGCAGCAACTTTCTGACAGCTCGTGAGAAACAGTTGTTTCTTGGAAAAGCAACAGCCGCCCTAAACACACCATTGTTTACACCACTCTCTATTTCTATCTTATATTTAAATTAAAGCATAGGAGAAAAAGTCTCAATAACATTTTATGCACATCTCTTTTTCATATTGCTGAAAAATTAAATTTAAAAGTGAATAAGAAGTTTTTCTTCTTAGAGTAGTCGTCAACTAAATTTTTTTAAAAAAAAATCTATCTTATTAATTAATAAAAGCATAATGCGCTAGAAAAACCCGAATGCACATTTGAGCATAGTTAATAAAGGGCTAATAATTTAATTAAAGCTTAATTAAATATGTTATTTTTATCATATCTAATTGCACAGTGACAATTCAATTTTATCCGGAAGATTTACATACATACCACTCAATTAATGTATACAGTAAATTGTAGGTGTTAGACATATAAATACATAAGAATGGATGGTGTGCATAAAAATGCCCAAATTTAGTTTAGGGATAATTACAAACATGGCATCAAATATTGTTATTTATATAGTCTAGCATCAATGTGATGATATTTTTGAACTATCAAAGTGACAATGTAGAGTCATCCGACTCGCTTTTTGACCACCCCACAAAGAGGTCCTATGTGAGGGAGGGTGGTTTCCCAGTGAAGAAACATTGGATGATTGGACTAACCCATCTGGAGGGTAGGTTGACGGAGCTGGCAACTTCTGCCTATGACCCTTCTATGTTAGAGGAAGAGCCGAAGGAAGAGCTACAGCTATGGTGAGGCAGATAGAGGAATCGTGGGTGACCATTTAGGAGGCAGTCCATGATCCTCAACCGGTAGATGTTCTCAGAGCTGTTGCCCTTCTCCCATAGTTGGAACAGAAGACCGAGGAGGAAGCTTGCTCCTTTAATACTTCAAATCTGCATAAAATGATGGGCCTGTGACATAGCACTGCCAGGAATGCCACTAATTTTTGGT